TGAGTGAGTGAGTTGTGTGAGAGAGTGAGTGAGTGTGTGTGTGTGTGTGAGAGAGTGTGTGTGTGTGAGTGAGTGAAAGATACACGGAATTAATGTGTGTTTGTGTTGCATTCAAGTGTTTTAAAGTTGTGTTAGTTTAGTGGTTGACACATGAACTGGGAACTGAAAAGTTGAAGTTTCAAACCCCACAAAAATTAATTTAGTACATGTCAACACATCTTGAGAAGTGGGACAAAACAGGGTGCAAAATTGAAAAAATAAAACCTTGTACTCGGACAAATGAAACTACATTTATGTATCTTATATGTACTGAGCAATGCTTTGATACAACCTCCCAACTTTTCTCTTTTTTAACAAAATGTGCTTTTTTAGCTTGGACTGTGTAATATAATTTAAACTTTATCTTTAACAGCATTCACAATGTTTTTAACATTTCAAAACACATTCTGGTGTTAGCAGACAGATTACACTTTCACATGTGACCAACAATTCCACAACAAATATAAAATATCATAATGAAATATTATCAAAATATTCAACTGACGGAGTTGACACATCTGACGGTGGTGACGAAAACCTGAATTTGTAATAATTTTAACTATCAAATACATTGAATCAGTCAATTACTGTATTAAAACAAACACAGCAAACAGTGAGTATGTTATTGTTTATAAAGCTTTTATTCAAGTGTCACATTTAAGTATTTTGATATATCATTGGAACTAGAGATCGACCGATATGGGTTTTTCTATAACCGATGCCGATCAGGTTGTGTGCGTTCGCTCGAACTGATTTGCTGAAATCAAAACAGGGACGATAATAGGTGAGCGCCAGCCAATGAGATTGCCGTTTGCGCATTAGTTCCGCCCACTAGCGGAGAAAGCGGTAGTTCTTAAAAGCGGAAGAATTCCAAAGGAACTCCGTTAATTTGACAGCAAAATATAACAAATATCGTTTACATGTAGCGCGCATAGGTAGCGCGTCAATTCTCTCTCGCTGCGTGTGTGTGAGAGACAAAGCGACGGCGAGTCGTGCGCCTTCACACTAGAGTTTACGGTACGTTGTGCGTTGCACATCCATTTAGATGAACCGAAAAACGGCACAGATCGCTTAGCGGAGAGAGAAACTCTGATGCGCTCAGTCAGAGTGTGTTCGGCGAGTGAAAATATATCCGAGCTAAACTTATACTTAGCCTCCAACTCACACACTGGCGAGTGAAATCTGAGAATTTATTAGCAATTGGCTAATATTAGACACCATTTAGTCGCCCAGAGGGAAGATTT